GACACTGTCAATTATTTGAAAGGCTAAAAAATAATTGATAATTATCGTGTGACTAACAAATCATTTAAGACAAGACAAATTTGTTTATGCATATATATATATATATATATATATATGTTTGTGTGTGTGTGTGTGGTTGTAAATTGCGTAATAGTAGGTATAAAAAGATCCCTTTATGATGTAACAAAGTGATTTAAAATATAAAATATCAATGTGATGAAATTTTGACAAATTTAAAAAAATAAATGTAAAATCGATTAAATAATCGTGTATTAAATAGGTAGGTATAACAAAAAATTGGTAAGTGTGTTTTTTCTTTTCTTTTTTTTTTTAAGGAAAGGTCCTTACTCCTTGTCAAAGAAAATACAGGTAAAAATCGCAATCCTTCCTGGAGAGGTACTTTCTTGAAGAGTGGCAGCGACGACCGTAGGTAGGTAGGTAGGTAGGTAGGTAGGTAGGTAGGTGAAGTATATAAAGATAGGTAACAGTTAAAGTAGGTTGGTAAACAAAAAAAAAACCCAAAATGACGTACTCGTCTTGTTAGTCAATAGTTGTGGTAGCAGTAGTAGGGCCCCCCAAAAAAACAGTCACTGCGGACCTCGGGAGTTATTTTGAAAATAGATAATAGACACAGCTCGGAATATTGGAGACAGTAACCTGCTACCTACTACCCCATCCAATTCATAACCCTAGTCTGCGCCCGCATCGAAATACTTCCAAAATACAAAATCAACAGGAGGCGTAGACACGCCTTCTTTGTTTCGGCTAGGACACGCCCCAAACTCCCTACAGGTTGAGCGCTTCAAAAGTTGATCCCGCCTCAACACCACCCTCAATGACGTCTTTTGTCAGGCTTTTACGGCTGAGGCAATCTATAGTACAAAGCTTGTATACTGGCACACAACGTGCACACGTGGGGCCAATCCCATCCATCCATCCATCTATCTATCTATCCATCTATCATCCATCTATCTATCTATCTATCTATCTATCCCATCTATCATATCTCAATATGTTCATCCATCTATCATCCATCCATCTATCTATCTATCTATCTATCTATCTATCTATCTCAATATATTCATATATCTATCTATCTATCTATCTATCTATCTATCATCTATCTATTCAATCTATTCAATATCTATCACAGTCTGCTTATCTATCTATCATCTATCTATTCATCTATCTATCATTCATCTATCTATCTATCTCAATCTGTTCATATCTATCACAGTCTACTTCTATCTATCTCTATCTATCTATCTATCTGTCTATATATCTCAATCTGATTAAAATGCTTCCATCTATTCATTCATTCATCTTTATATCTATTATGTATCTATCTCAATGAACATAAATATCACAGTCTTTTATCTAATCTATCTATTCATGAATCTAGGGGAGGATAACGAATATCTTTGTAATATACTGAAAAGATTAAAATAAGCTTATATTTTGTTTTAGACAAAAAATATTTTGTGATGGTGAACAGGAGGATAATGAATACACAGACAAATAAGATATTTTACTTTTAAACAGTGACAGTAAGACAGACACACAGACAAACACACACACAGACAGACAGAGAGAGACAAACACGCACACACACAGACAGACAGAGAGAGACAAACACACACACACACACGCGCGAGCGCGCACATACACACACACGCGCGTGCACACACACACACACACACACATATCTATACCTATGAAGTATTTACCTCCGAGATTGAGCAATTCTCCGTTATAAATATAGTCAAATTTAAACGATAGATATATAATTTATAGTTTGTCTGACGATCGCAAGATGGTGAAACCCAGGGTCACAAACTCACATCAATATAACTATGTTAGTAGCACTATCACTGATATTGAACGCTTTCTAATAATTACCGCGCATAAATAATATATATAGAAATTACACACGCCCACATACACGATATGAATATATTTATATACAAATACTTTTTATACAGACACACACACATACACACACACATATGTATATATGTGCACGTTAATGTCTTATTAAATAGAACGAACAAGTTAAACGTTTTGTTGAGTTTCTCAACGGGACGAATAAATCGTTTGATTTTCGAGAGTATGCTTTTAAAAACGTGTCTAAATTGTGTGTAGTGTTTCGAATACTTTCAGCCATCAGATGACATTTTCAGGGTAAAATAGAAGTCTAGAGATAACCAGTAATATATATATATATATATATATATATATATATATATATATATATATATATATATATATAATGTGTGTGTGTGTGCAAAGAAAGTTTCGTTTAATTCAGCGGAAAAAATGACTATTTGTAATTTTTTATTGCATTTTTCCAATTCTTAAATAAGGTCTTGTACATCTGAATTAAAATTGGGGTTAAAGTGTCCGAAGTATATTTTTTTAAAACTTTTCTTGTTTTTTTCTTCTATTTTGTTCAATTACATTCCGGTGAAGTATTGCTCCATATAAGCGTTACATATGACGTCACTAATTCGAATTCTTCCACTTTAAAAATATACGAGAATGAACTCAATCAAATTTTGTGTTCCGCTGACAACACCGAATTCTTGATAATGACTGAGTCAGTCGAAAGTACTTGAACCATTGGAGAGTATTTATTTAATTGTAAAAAAAAAAAGAAAGATATTTTTATCAGGAAGAAAATATCAGAGATGATATGGACGCCAATGCAACAAGTAACCCCCATCACCCACCCACACGCACTTAAATAGTTCAATAGAACAAATATGATCTTCGGACAATTTGCTTACAATTTAGATTCAGATGTGCAATATCTTATTTAAAAATTGGAAAAATACAATATAAAAAAAAAATGGAACAGACCTTGAATTTAAAAAAAGAGTCGCAGTTTGGATGAATTTTTGCTGTCTAAATATACCTCATATTTGGTCAGCAACGTTTCTTTCAAACAGGTTTTGTTGAATATGAAAGACAAGGGAAAATTCGAGGAGAAGGTTTTTTTAGTATTCTTAAATTTCTCGTTTGGCCGGACTGAGGGAGTGTAAAAATTGTCCGTAGTGTAAATTGTCTTTCGGTCACGTCTTTAGCCAAAGCGATTTGGTGTTAAGTGTTGTGAATTTTTTCATGTTTGTCTTCGTGTGTTTTTTTTTTTTTTTTAAAGATGTAGTTGTGTGATGTCTTTATAGTACTAGCGTTTATTCCAAGACCCGCGAAAGGAAAGTGGCTAGGATTGTATTAAAAAAAAATAAAATGCACAATATTTCTGTTAAATAAGGTGGGACTAATACTGAATAGAAGATGATTTACACACATACACACACACACACACACACACACATATATATATATATATATATATATGGCAATTGTAAAACGTTCTTGAAAGTAGATTTGTTAAGATATGTATTCATGAACGTTTTCTAAATGTCAAAATTTTAAAATCTTGGAAGGATTATTGCAATTTTAATATATATATATAATATTATATATATATATATATATATATATATATATATATATATATATATATATGAATAAAGGAAAATATTATCTTACCCGATGTGTTTCTGAGAGACTTCAAGGAAAATGTGCACATATGCCTTCATAAAATCCCTCAAAGGACGAAACACGTCGACTAAAATAAGTTTTCCTCTTGTCTTTTTCATATTGTCCTTTGACAAATATACTCTATCTGAAATTTTACACATGATTTTATATATATATATATATATATATATATATATATATATATATATATATATATATATATATATATATATATATATATATATATATATATATATATATATATATATATATATGATTATATACATATATGATTATATATATATATATATATATATATATATATATATATATATATATATATATATATATATATATAAGTGGACATTGAAGTCAACACGCAAACTTCAGGTGATGTGGACACGAAACAGGATGTTGCCTCTGGGTGTTGACATGATTGTACACTTTTATATTTACAAAAACACTATCTCTGATATTGAGGACTTTAACATATAAATATAGCATACATTTTATATATATATATATATATATATATATATATATATATATATATATATATATATATATATATATATATATATATATATGATTGAATTTCCGTCGATTTATAGATCTAACAAAATTATTTTGTTTTTATATGTCTGTCGTATGTGATATTTCAGTCCTGTTAGTGACCTTCATACAAGTTCACATATTGTGCAACCTCGGGACATAGCAACAGAAATGTTGGAGGTTTTGAATAACGTGGAACCACATTTTAATTGCTGTTGTTCGCAAGTACACCCTGGTCCAGGGTGGTAGCACCTATATATATATATATATATATATATATATATATATATATATATATAGTGTGCAGCTTATATTTTATATCATAAAGAAACAATTTATACAAAGAATTGAATAGCAATGTTAATTTGATTAATGGCGAAATCACTTCGCTATCAGAATTTAATGAGACATTAACTTTCTATTAATTCCTTGAATAATAAGATTTTTATATTCGAGTTGTTGTCAGATGGAAGGCATTTTTACTCTACTAATTCGATTATATTTAAGCCCATGTCACTTTATCAGATAAATACATATAACAAGAAAATTTCGTGGAATTATATTTTTCAAAATTCAAAAAAAATTCTCACTTGATCGATTGGCGGAAGAACTCTAACGTCGCGGCATCACCATGCTCTAAAACACATATTCAACTACTAATAAACAGCATAATTAAAAAAAAAAAAAAACTTATTTCGGTCTTCACATATTTCGTCTTAGTGTTTGCCTATGGAAAAATTGCGCCCTGAAGATGACAATTTGTAATTATCGAAAGTACTTGTCAAGTGTTTCCATCTGACAACAACTCGAATATAAAGATTCAAGGAACTGATAGTGTTGTAGAGTAGTTTTCACTGTGGAGGCTTGTATTTCACTAAGTCGGTCCTAAATTAGGTTCGACGTACAAAACGTTAGGAACTTGAAATAATAGTTAATGACGCAGCAATCTAGTTGTGGGGCTCATACTTTAATGTTTGACATCGACTGACTCACACAATTCACTGAGCTTCACTGGCGACTGCTACTACTACTACTTATTATCTGTGGGAGAGTCTATTTACAATAGAAATAGGTACGTTCCGGTATAACAGATAGTAAGTTATTGTCTCATTAAGTCTTGTTAGCGAAGTGATTTCGCCATTAATCACATAACATTGCTATTTAATTCTTTATATAAATAGTTTGATATATATATATATGTATGTGTGTGTGTGTGTGTGATTAAGTTAGGGACAAGTAGGAAAAATGCTTTTAAATTTTATGTTTCACGTTATTGCAGCTTCATCGCAACGTTATTGTGAAGGGGGTAATATTTAAAAAATTTCTGCCGAAGCTGCCATAAAGCGAATCATGTCAAACGTATAAGCGTTTTTTTTTTCTATTTGTTTCTTATTTAATCACTTTACCGCGCACGCGCGTGTGTGTATGAGTGCGTGGCCGAGTGCTTAGAGACCCGGGTTCAGTATACAATCAGGAACGTGAATTCTTGATGTTATTCCTCTGAGGAGCTGGAGCCCACCTTAGCAATGTTGACCCAAGCTTTTGTGAGTGAAATTGGCTAGACCGAACTGTTGTTCAAACTGCTGATCACGCCAGAATTTATTGCACTTCCCTATACTAATTCACCTTAATTACTTCCCCCCGCGAAAAAAAATGCTGTCTGCGGTGAACCACACCTCTGTACCTCCCAAATATACGTGTCAGTGGTTAAGATTTTTTAATTAGTTCCTGCTTGTCTATATGTATGTGTATCTGTGTTATGGCTATATACCTTCCACTTTTCGCAAGCCCTCGTTACAACTACTTCACCGTTTTTTTTAGGCCTCCATCGTGTTCTTTATCGGTGTTGGTAAGTGTTATGGAGTGATTTCACAGTGGAGGCTTGTATTTGTACTAAGTCGGTCCTAAAATAGGTTCGACGTACAAAACGTTACGAACTTCATATAATAGGTATGACGCAGTAATCTAGTTGTGGTCGCTGATACTTTTAGTATCCGACTAAACGGGTTCAGGGTCGGTTTACCTCTCCGAAAGAGACTCCGCCCTTCGGCGTAGCCTCGTTCGGGTTCCTCCTCGTCCGAAGGCAGAGATTTCAACCGATCAGCCGGTCGTCCGACTTCAGACTGAACTCAGACCGACCCACTGAGCGGTATTCAGTCACCCCCCCCACGAGGGCATCATGTGGCACAAGGCCGGTTTAA